AGCAGCTGCATAGCACAGGGAGATCAGCTGGGTGCTTTGTGACCACCTAGAGCGGTGGGATAGGGAAGGTGGGAGGGAGATGCACGAGGGAGAAAATATGGAGATGTATGTGCCAGGGCTTTTACCTGCGTTATCTGGATTGAGCTTGTGTGGGTGAGAATAGGGGCATATTGCCTCCCATTTTACAGAAGAGGAAACTGAGGCTCAGAGAGGTTGAGACTTTTGTTTAAAGTCACACAGCAGGGATCTGAACACCCATTTCTAGATGATTCCTAAGTCCTGACCTTTACCCTCTGCCTGGGAAGAGACTGAGGGTTGAGGAGGATTTCTCCTCTCCTGGCTGTTTCCTGGCCCTTGAGTACCTCCCCCAGGGGAGACAGCTGTTCTCCATTGCCCCTCCGAGCAGTACCCTGACAGCATAAAGATCTTGCTGTGCCGTTGAGCCCCTTCCTGGGTCTCTGGACAACAGTCATCGCCCCAGTCCAGGCTTGGCTGAGATATCCGAGGTCCAGGGAGGGAGATTATCAAGGGATACGGCATTGGAGGGAGTAGGTGTGTGCGTGGAGGGTATCTGGAGCTGAGAGGTGGGTTCCAGAGTGTAACCTGCTCTGGCTAGAATTTCAGAATCTTTCACCACCTGTGACTCAGCTCCAGGAAAAGAGGAAAGGTTTGCTCATGTTTTCTCCCGATCACAAGGAATAGAGTCACCTTTCTTTCCAGTTACTGTGTGGCCTCCCCCAAAAGGAAGGTGCTGGATCCAGGCCGGCAGGGCAGCCTTAGGCTTCTTTATACCTAGGTTGTCCTTCTGGTCACTTGATGCTCCCAAAGTTGCCCCAGGCGAGCAGGTAAATGAACCCCTCCCGCCTTCAGGGAGACCCAAAGTTTCAGAGTGATGTGAATGGCCATCCCCATTTCAGAGGTGAGGGGACAGAAGCTCAAAGAAGGTTTCTCATGTGACCAGGGTAGATCTGGGCTTCAACCCAGTGTGTCTGACTCCAAACACTACACTCTGCATACCACTATCCAGGTCTGGCTTCTGGGCACAGGTACCAGCCCGCTTCCTCATCTTCCTGCCCCTGCTCAGGGCTCAGAGCTGTCCCCAGGGGCCTTAATGCATCATAAGCCCAGAGCTGTGAGAGGCAAATGCCAGGCCAGCTGTGAGCAAGAGAAAGATCCTTGCTGAGCTGATATTCTAGCAGGGGGAGACAGACCATAACCCATAACAATAGTAAGTAAATTAGGTATTTAAGTATTAAGAAGGTGATAAGGAGAAAAATTTGGGACAGAGAATCTGGGGTGCTGGAGTGTGTTGGGGGGCGGGTTGCTCTTTTCAATGGGGCGGGGTTGGGGGAAGGCTCCCTGAGAAGCAAAGACTTGAAGGGGGAGGACGTTGTTACTGTGGGTCCATGACTAACACATCCCAGTGAAACCCAGTGCAACATGGGGATAAATGTTCTCTGATGTTATTTCTGCTTTAAAGGTGGGGAAACTGAGGCTCCATGAAGTGAGCCGGGGCAGAACCAGGATGAAATCCAGGACTCCAGGACTTGAGTTCTGTGTGTGTGCGTGCATTTGTGTGTGTGTGCGTGTGTTACTGAATTTGTATGTGTGCACAAGTATGTGGGAGAGTGCGTGTGTGTGTGTGTGTGTGTGTGTGTGTGTGAGACAGAGAGAGAGAGAGAGAGAGAGAGAGTGAGAGCTCTTTCTTGCAGGGGGTCCTCCTCTTTCTCTCCTGGCAGCATGTCCTCACTTTTCTCAGGTGGGAAGAAGAGCCCTTAGGTCTTTCCTTCCAGGGCACATAGGACTTCTGCCCTGGGGAACAGTTGGTGCTGAAATCCCCAAAGGACCACCCCCACCAGCAGTCCCTTGTGGGTGCAGGATGGGCCAGAATGGCAGGGGAGCAGTGGACTCTGCCCATTATCAGAGGCCCCTCCTGCAGGTGGGGATTGGCTTGGCATTTCCCCTGCTGTCCTGGGCTGGGTGCCCCCGCCCTGCACCCCCCTGCTGGGTCCATGCCTGGGAGGAGATGCCCAAGGAGCTTCCCCAGCTCGTCTGACCCCATACCTGCGTGGAGTCGGGCCTCACAACGGTCAAGGGAACAGACATTGCAGTGGGGCATCCTGCCTGGCTGTCCCCCACCCTCTCTGGACCTCTCATCCCACACTGACCAGTCTCATCTACCTCCATTGGACCACGTTGCCCCTTACAAGGGCTGTTCTGGGACAGCTGTCCTTTGGGCGTCCAGCTTTGTGACTCCCCAACATACAGTGAATCTGACCCCTGCTTCCCATCGTTGATTCTTATCCTGGTCCCCACTTTCTCTGATTCTGACCCACTCCCTAAGAGTAACTCTGATCCAAGTTACCTCCTCCCTCTAATAATAATAATAATAATAATAATATTGTGATAAGTGCTATGCTAAAATGAGTTGTAATAATATCTTTATTATTTTATTATTTTTTATTTTATTTTATTTTTTATTTTTAAATTTTAATTCACATAAAGTTCAGTCTTTGGTGAATTTTGACAAATCATATTCATACAACAATCGAGAACACTGTCGTGTGCCGGACACTGTTTTAAGCCCTTTGCATAGATTAATTCATTTAATACTCTTAGTGACCTGATGAAGTACATACCATTATCATTTCCACGTTGCAGATAAGGAAACCGAAACCGAGTTTCCTTTTTAGACTGGGATCCATAATAAGAAATACATTGTACCCTATGACCAGTTATGTGTAAGGC